AACCCTCAAAGGGACAGCACGGGCAGTTTCCTCGGGAGGGACGTCCCAGATTTCCTCAAGCCTTGGATTAGCAACATTGACGGGCCAGAACCCCTGCGGCATACTGATGGGTCTGTGGGTGAGCGCGGTGCCTTCATGGATGCGCGGGTTGTCCCGTGACTCTTGGGCAGGTGCATATCCTGGTTTGAAGACCCAGGTTGTCTCCTGCAGCAAACGGCATCGATCAGGATCACTTGGGCCCTTGGATGGCCCGCACACCATTTGATCCACGCCACCAGCCCACTCAGGAACAGAGGAAAACCCAACATGCATCTGGCTGCACCGTCCTTCACAGACTTCTGACCCGGGTGTTGTCGGCTCCCCACTGGTCTCAGACACATCTCCAGCAACCATGCATGGCAGCAGGATGTCTGCTTTCTTCTCGGTATGTTGATCAATGTGGGCAGTGCTTGACGCCGGTTGGGCATCATGGGTCACACGATCAACAGGCACGGCAGGGTGTCCTTGCCTTTTCTTTGTTGGGTGCGTCGGGGCCACACTCGGCCTGGGGCGCTTGCCCCCTGGATTGTGCTTGGGGGTATCCTCACATGACGACGGTATGGCCTGTAGGACGTACATGTCCTCCTCCAGTACAACCCGGACTCCTGACAGGTGCATTCTCTGCTTGGAAAGCTGGGACACGCACTCCGACAGCAAACACAGAGGCGAAACCGGCGAGAGCTCACCCAGGAGGAGGTGGGTGCGATACACTTGCAGCAGTGCGTGATGCACCGAAATCATGTTCCCAGTGAACTTCCATGCACTAGTCATGTCCTTGGGGATGGCCAGCTTGGGTTCACAACCCATGGCAGCAGCAAATTCCCATGGTGAGAAAAACCTCACTCCCTTGCCATCATCCAACAACGTGGTGTGCAGGCCTTTCTCCCTCAGGTGGATCTCAGGTAACGTGTGCTGCTTGCCGTATGATGCCATGACTCCAACAAAGGGCATTTCAGCCGTCCTGACACGACATTTGAGCGCAGCCTGCGGGGCAGCATCCTCGGATGTGTCGAGCCTTTTTTTCATGGAAACAGGCAGGAACTGCGGGTCACACAAGAGGACCATGGCTTGGGCATCAGGGATCAAATTCCGGCGCTCACTTTGGCTGAGATTGATGTGCACACAATCAAGGGCCCTCATAGAATTGCTCTGGGCGGCTCCCTTTGTGGGCAACGCCAACGCATTCGCCATACGCACGGCCTCCGGTCGCACTGCAATCCTTTCAGAAATCCAGGTTCCCAACCATCTTTTCCTGACCAGAGGTGTACAAGGATCACATCGGTCTACCGAATGCTGCTGCAAGACAAAACCATGCTGGCTGGCCTCTTTGACAATGGTGTGGAAATCGGGATGCTCCCCAAAACCCGGGACATTTTCCATGGTGATGGAGGTCACCCCTGTCTTCTTAGCCATGATGAGGGTATCCAGAGCTAGCCGTCCATCCTCACAAGACAGACCTGGCTGACATCCAGCGGACGACCATGGCGGGCATGGCGGTGAGACACACCAATGCCCAATATTGCAAAGTCCTGCAATCATCCAGACCACCGGATCTCTCATATCTGCAAGGAGCACAAAAGCCCTTGGCAAACAGTGTGCGGCTGCAGCATACATGGCGATCGGAGTCGGATACACCACAAGGCCAAACCGTTTGGCACAGGCTTTGGCCGTGACCTCGTCCTTCTCCACCATAATTGCAGTGTCGCCCTTCGGCTTGAGCAGCTTGAGAGCTGCTGACCAGTTACCACTTCCTGCAAAGCCCTCAGCAATGTTCTGGACCGTACCAGGAACAGGGTGGAAAAGGACCAGCGAACCATTCCGGTGTGCCACAAAGAGCAGCATGCGATCATCCTCCATCTTCATCTCGTACTCCACCAAAGTGGCATGGCGCCCCTGGACTGCACCAGGGAAAAGCCACTTGGGCAGGACCACCACCACCGGGAGGGACTCCCCCTCGTTGCCCGGGAACCTCCCAGGAACCTCCACCAGCTCCCTAAGAAGCTTCACCTCCACATCTCCTCCACTTCGGAGCACGGCACCCACCATGCCCTGACCACTCCATTGCAGCATGGGGATCTGCTGAAGCCTACCCGCGACTGGGACGCTCCCCTCGACCAAAAAAGGCTCAGATGCCCAGTGGCCATGGGCAAAACAGGCAGCCTTTTCTGGCTGGTTGAGTTTGAAGGAATCGGAACCCTTCCCCAAAAAATTGGAAAAAAAAAGGGCGGAATCCAATCCACTGGGCAAGTGGGTAAATGCGCAAGTATTGACAAAAAGGATTTCATAGAGTCTCCAAAGCTCTTCCATGGACTGATGGACCGCCAGGACTCGACCTTTTCTGATGGCACCACCGGCACCACCCATTCCAGTTGAGGAGGGTGCCGGATTTTTTGTTTCCTGAAGGGACCTCGTGTCAGGAGTTAAGTGGGCATGTGGTACAGCACGGATGCAAACGGTGGGGAAGACTTCAAGCACGGGTCCCAGGACTACTCTTGCATGAAAGGCGAATGGCGATTGCAGAAAGCCACAAAAGACTGGGCTTCGGAAGCAGGATGTTTCATCGTTGGGGATGGTTCACACGGCAAAGTTGGCACTCCTGGTCCTGCCTTAAGCTCAAGTGAAACCCCCAAAAAAACTGCTCTGCAAGCACCCCCCCCCGCCCCGCAACAAAAAAGACAAAGAAGAAAGCAATCTCATCTGCCATTCCAACAGGAAGTGCCCCCGCGGCTTCAACCAACTTAACCTTTGAGCGTGTCAAAATTACAGACCCCCCCCAATTTGCAGTAGTTCAGTACAGACCCCCCCCCAATTTGCAGCAGTTCACTTGGTTTCCCACGAAAAGTCCATCCTCTGGACACCCAACTGAAGGCCATCCGCAACGCCCGAAGCTTGCTGCGAACCCCCCGGCTCAGCCGCCAGGCTCCAAACCGAGACCCATGAAAAAACCAAGGGCCACGCTTGCCCCTCGGAACTCGGATCCGCCGGGGCCATTTTGGTCACCGCTTCACCAAGCCTTTGGCTTCAAAGGAACCGCCCAAAGGAACCGCAGCCTCCTTAAACGAGACAAGACACCTCAGCAAAAGGAGCCACACCTTTTGAAACCACTGCTCCGCCAACCCTTTGGTTTCCATCTAGCAAAAACGCCCAAACAACGAGGGTGCCCTCCACAAGAAGACAAAAACAAAAAACAAAAAACGCGCCCATGGAAGCCACTCCTTTTGGGCCAAAGGACGACGCCCTCCCCGTGTTCCAAAAACGCGCGCGACACGCGACACACGCGCGACACGCGCCTCGCCTGCTGGGTGGTGGCGCCCCGGAGCTCCGCCGCCTGCTGCGCCAAGATCTCCCGCCAGGTCTCCACCTGGAGGCATCGGGGGTTGACCCGTTTGGTGGGCTTGGGGGGGGGGGGGGGGAGGCTCCTCCATGTCCCCATGTCCCTTTGAAGGACCATGAAAAAACCTCCCAAAAACATGGCAAGGGAACCTCCGAAATTGAGGGTACCCTTTGCAGCTGGATTTTAACCCCGTCTCAGGTGGATTTGCAGGGAAACCAAAGGGGAACACCACGTAAAAAAAAAAAAAGGGAAGGGGGCGGGGGTCTCGCTATGTTGATACACACACAGAGAGACATATTTAGTTTGGACCAGTCATTGATCAGCATGTTTGTTGGTTGGAGTGGGATGGAGGAATTATCCATGTCGGGTTGCGCGTAATTTGTTGTATAATCAATTAATATCAATTAATTCAGACCCTGCACTCAGATGCCCGATGGCCATGGGACAAAAAGGGCACCTTTTCTTGGTTGGTCGACTTTAAAGGAATCGGAACCCTTACCCCAAAAAAAATGGGAAAAAGGGCACCACTAGGCAGCAAAGTGCAGATTTGACGCCCAGCGGCCGTCTTCCGGTGCTGCTCCTCCCGCTCTTCCGCTGCTTGCAACTGCTGCAGCAGGCGCCGAGCGTCGCCTTCGCGAGCGGATTTTTGATGCCGAGATGCCGTTCCTTCGGCTGGGGCGGGCGGGGGCTTCAATGGAAATGTTTAAAACAGGGATCCTTACATTATACACCTGAACATTGCCTTGTAAATGGTGGTTTCCCCTTATTTTGGTGGAAAAAGCCATGTTTCAAATGGGCAAAATATTGTTTTAAGGAGCCCTGTAAAATGCCACTTGCTTCCAAAAGGTCCAAGGGGCTAAGGTCACACCAAAGACCAAGCCCCTTGCGGACGTCCAGTCCCGCAGTTCAGCTTGCGTGTTGTGCGGCCTCCCTGTTCCGAAAGTAGGGTGCTTAGGCGGGATCGATCGCATGCTTGCGAAGTGGTCCGCAAGAATGAGCCAACGGAGTCCAGGAAAATGCCGGTCGACACGAATGGCGAAATCGCAAGGCAAGGTACAGCGACCTATGCAAGGCCCAAGCATTCTTCATATCAACGACGCGGGGCCACTTCAGTCCTTTGACCCATGGTAGCTGCTTTCATCCTGGTAACATGCAATGTATCCAACTCTGTCCCTGAACGATGGGCGTCTCAGAATTGAAAGGGACCTGGAAAGATTGTTGACCTTGGGTTTCCCTTTGAAACACGCCAAACATGGGTTTCCCCCGCAACAAAAGAGATGAAAGCAACCAGGTATCCCCAACAGCAACCAACCTTCCGGAACTCGCCGGAACCCTCGCTGGGAGCTGGGTCTGGAGCTTCAGAGGTATTCCCAGAGAGCTCAAGGTCTAAAGATTCACCGCGAAGAACCCTTCGGGAATGAAGACGACTTACCAGCTTGTCTCAAAAACTGGGTAAACCATAACATGGCAATAACTTTCCTTTTGATTTCCCGTTCCCATGCCAAAAGGGTGACCTCAAACAAAACACATCCACAAATCCGCACACATCCGCCTGCGTCCCGTTTCGCCGCCTCCCTCCCTCTCCGCAAGTCCCGGCCTCGATCCTCGATGTGCTTCACGGGCCGGCTCAGAGCCTCCTCCGACTTCTCCAACCTCGGGCGTTGCGCTGCGCGCTGCGCGCTGAGCGCTCGTGAAAAATGGGGACCCCACATGGCCCTGGTGGATGGGTGGAGGACGAAAACCTGCGGTCCAACTCCTGGCGGTTTGAATTTGACCCGTAATTGCCCAAATGGGCCACGTTGGTGGATGAAAAACTGGGGCCGTGACCATCCCGTCCAACATGGAACCTGACGTTTCGGGGTCTTGGAAGACCGTCTTCCCTTTGAAGGGACCCTATGGTGGGTTCCATCTTAGTGGACAGGGTGGGTCTGGGCATGGGAAAAATACACCATCCGTCCGACGTCATCCCCTTTTGGCTTCCTGCAAGCAAACATCGCGTCATGTTTTCTCGGACCTCAAAGAATGGAATTCGGCCTTTGAGCTTGACCTTTGCTAAAATAAAAAAAAAAATACCCTCCAAACAACAAGCACATATGGGCTGAGACACCCTTTCTGGCTTGCCAAGGGACACACATCATAGGCCATGGCCTAATTTGGAGATAATACTATGCCTTACTGATACTTGCATCCCGGTGTTGCCACTCGGACAAAGCCCTCTCTCTTATAGTCATAGTGAGAAGCTAGCTGGAAGAAAAAAAGGGGAACAAGGGTGCCACTGAACTCAAAATATGCCGGCAACACAACAGACAAATGGTGGCCAAACCCTTCGGCGGGAAGCTAAGTGGCAATAGTCCAATCTCCCCCCAACAAAACATTCACGTTTCACTCAGAGATTGCTACGGTCACAGAGTTGAGCAAACCTTCGCAAAAAACCTGCTAGAGGACGTTAAGGCTGCTTTCCGAACAGTTGCAGTCTTCTTGCTCTCACCGTAAACACTACAAACACAAAACTATTTGTGCACACACCCGACTGACGTGCTGTCAAAACCCATGTGCGCCTAAAAGCGATGCACACTCGCTAGGTCAATACCAGAAAAGCGTTGATTCCTACGCGGCTCCAATGGCCTCAACTGGATCTACACGCGGGAAGTCACGTCAAGCGAGAGGGTATGATCTTGGCTGTCCTCGTGCCACGGCTACTGACGTGGAATGAGCAAGCGACCAAAAACAACCCCGCCAACAGGGGCACTAAATTCAAGGCCAGGCAGGTGCCTTACACAGCCCCCTGCATTCTGTTGGTTGCAAGCACGGGACATACTGTCCAGTTCTGCAAGTGCGGTATGGAGAACGCCATGGCTTCCTACTCCCAAATTCAGGCATCGCGCAACACTTGAGATCAGGCAACCGACACACCAATAGAAAATCATATTTTTTTGCCGTTTGATTTGGGGTCCGATTGATGTCAACAGGTTGACATGCCCAGCTAGTTGCCCAAACGCCGGGCCGAGGAACAGACGACCCCTGCTTGCTCACTGGAAGCACAAGCGGAAAATGTAGGCTGTCCCAGCGATCCCTACATTGGTCCTGTCAACATCAGACCAAAGGAAATTCACTGGATGTTGGCGCCCAAACGACGCCTAAAACAACCAAAAGGGGGCATGCAAGCGACACTCCCCCCTGTCTTCCTGAGGCCTGAACTGGGCTTCCGCCTGGATCCAAAAAAGCGGGCACCCGTCATGTTGCAACGGGCAGGGCTGGAAGCGGCGCTGTATAAAGTAGGGGACACCTCCGAATGCAAAAGAGCGAAGAACATCGATCAAAACAAGCTCCTTTCAGTACATGTGCCTGAAGTCCCTGAAGTCTCCAAGACCCTTAGATTGGAAAATGATTGGTATTGTACCCACTTTATGGGCTAACACATTTGGTTGAACCATACCCCCGCTTCACCCATGGAAGGCAACACCGCGGCTCAAGACTCAATTCGGCGGCCACAGAGTAAGATCCTGGACGCGCTTCTCTCGCAACCATGTTGCTGCGGCCGTCGCCGTGGCCCTTTCTCTCGGAAAATGAATCATGCCTACAGGAAGCCCACGCGAAGCGCCCTTTGCGTCTTTGCAAAGCCGGCAGACCATCCCCACAACAACGCTTCATGTCATTCACCCTTCTAAAAAAAATGCCACGTGAACCCATGCGACCTATCAAATCGTCCCCCAACGCGTTTGCCTACGCGAGGCTTCGCAACATGAGCTGATTCATGGAACTGGCGGTACAAGTTGACACCTATATATATGGCGGCGAAGTATCAACCATTTCGTCCTACAAAATGGGGCTCCAACTCCAGATCAAGCAACCTCCATCTCTAGTAAAGTCGTGGCTTACATCACCGAGGTTGCTTCCTTCGCCTGCACATGCAAAACTGCAACACCCACCAGCCGAACAGCCGGGATCTTCGCACGCCTCGGCAGCCACGTCACCCAGCTTGGCACGTGGGCGCTCGAGCAGGGCCAGTTTGGCCTGACACTTTGCAAGCATTTTCGGGGCGTTGCCTAAACCCTATGTTGAGCAATAGTGGGCCCCAAAACAAGTTACATTCCCTTTGTTTTCCTTTCAAACCAACCAACACGGCGTCCACCATTTTGAGACAATCCCATCTGACCAGCCTGTTCTGCTCTCCCCTCTCATGGCGATCCCGGACCAAGTAAACTATTGGGGAGGGAGCGGAGGGAGCATTCAGTACCGGGTTCCCATTAGATGCGTATGTCCATGACAAATTAATATGTGGGCATGACATGGCATGATCCATGTCTGAGATGCTACAACTATTAGGCTCTTCCCCTCCATTGCTCTTGCAAGGGAGATACGACGAGCCTCCGAAGAACCGACAGTACCGGCAACTGGACCCCATCGACCTGCACTAACTCTCTGCATTGTCAAGACAGGACAACGCATCTGCACGAATCGCATTTTCGCATCTGTGTGAATGCGCACGTGTGCCCCACGAGTGTATGTGTGTCTGGGCTGCCCTCAGATCCCCCGCTAAAAGTTTAACTTTTAGTGGGTTAAATAGAAACTACCACTAAGCACTAAAAGGCCACAAAGCTATTGAGATGGCTGGGAGCCACCAGAAAAATAAGCTTAAAAGATACACCTCCGTGATGCTGCGCAAAAATTCCAGGTTGGAGGATCTGTCCCACGTGCTTCCCCTTTTGGCTTTTCTTTGGAAAGGGCTGATGTGCTTGGAACCGCAGTCCTCAATTTTCAGTGGTGCACCGTAAGGTCAATGTTGATGTCAAATATTCATCTTTTGCTGGTGATGGCATGGTTCCCAATCAGATCGAAGGCCAGTACACAAATACTGCATTCATGTTCAGATTTCTGTTCTCCACGGTCGCCACTAGACGCATCAACCATGTTGCAAACAGATGGAGGAAGCAGGATGAGACATGGTTTTCACCCTCACGTTTCGACTCTCTAGCCGCCCGTGCGGAGTCCCCACATGGGCAAGTGGCGGGATTTGGACCCCGAAATCGATAAACGGTTAGAGCGAACCTGAAGAGGGTACCCTCAAAAACCCAATGTGGTCACACGCAACAGTAACCAAAGGCAAGGGTACCATGACGACCGGTCTTTGCGACAAAAGGCAAACACGAGAACTCGGAAGCGCTGTAAACACGCACTTGCATTCATCATGAGCTCCAGAAACCAGACTTAGGACGGAAGCCAATGTAAGATCTTGCCCTCCGACCATGGAAGCAAAAAGCAAAGGGTTCCTTTCGGAAGATGATCAATTCTTTGATGCTGTTGACCCCTCTGCAAAAAGTTGTTGTTTTCTTTTTCCGTTTTGTGGGTTTAGTGGAAACCCAACTTGATTTCTCCCAAAAAGTTAAACTCCAAAGATCCAAGCCAATAGCAGTCCAGGATTCGGCCCTCTCTCAGGTTCCAAGTGAGGGTAACGTGGAGCCTTCGATTTCCGCCCGCCTCAAGCTTCGCCAGCTGCTCCTCCGCGTGTTTCTTGGCCTGGAGCGCCTGAGCCAGCGGAGTGGAAGCCAATGACTCCATCGGCCGGTAGGATAAGGATGCCCTACAGCAAAACTTTTTCATGGATGCCCTCTTGCCCAGCTGGATTTTCAGAGGGAACCTTGATTTGGGTATGGGTCAAAAGTAAACCACCAGGAATTGGACCGCAGGTTTTAGTTGTTGCCATTTACCAGGGTTCCATTTGGGGGTATACCTTTTTTTTGACCCATGGCCATGTAAGGGCACAAGAAAGCCCTCCAATCTGCCATGTCTTGCCGTGGCTTTGTGGGTAGTTCGTTTAATTGCCAAATTTAGCGCATCCACGCTCTAATTAACAAGGAACTCACCAAAAGAGCCCTTTCAAAGGAACATCATCTTGCCGGAACCCCCAGTCGATGATTTCTCCACGTTCGAGCAGTACTTTCCCAGAAGCCTTCCTTCAGCTGAAGCGACGCGAACCGCCGGTCTATCTCACGTGATGCTTTGAGAGTTGCCCCGAAAGAAAGCATGCCCAACGCACAAAGACACATACAAACATTCTCGCAAAGGCACATACTGCAAGTAACTGTCTTCTATCGCTGCCTCATGCACAAACATGCGCTGATCAACTTTGAGCACGCAAAGTGCAAAACAAATGAGAGGCAGCCATCTGGAGGCAGCCAACAAGACGGAATTCACAATGTGCCGCATAACTTCGCATGACTTTACATGTGGCTGTGGGTCAAAAATAGGTATACCCCAAATGGAACCCTGGTAAGTGGCAACATGGACCAAAATCTGTGGTCCTATGGTGGTTTAATTTTGACCAACACCCATGTGCGTTTTGGACTGACTGCCATCCAAAAAGTAGAAACCCCCACCCCCTCACGTTCGACCGGTTTCGGCCTCAGAATCGCGAGCAGCCAGTAGCGTGGCCTGCGATCTGTTTCAAAACTATGGGCCTCTCCCATGTAATGCCACGCCCACGAGCGCAGGGAGTTGCTTGCAGCTGGAGAGCAGCTGAAACGAAATCCCAGGGTTCCATCTGTTGTGAACATCCCCCTTGCCGTTTGGTGAGGCTCTTTACAGCTATGGACGCAGAGCCCAGTTGTTCTACAAATAGCCAGCGGTATGGGCAAACTTCTTGACCGCGCCAACTCGCGAAACTGAGCAGCAACTCGCTTAATTGGCATATCGCAACGTTCAAATACCTTTCAGTTTGGTCAATATGCCTTTGATGACAGCAATTTAAACTCAAGCACTACGCCCCTTCCGTCATCTGCCGGTTCGTGTTCGCAGGAAAATGGCCATGATGTTTAATGGGCAACGACCTCACACACGTGGTTGGACAAAATTTCTAACTAAATGATGCGCAAAAGGACACAATTCTGAACAATTGCATAGAGCTGCCTGCAGCCGCGCAAAGTCTTCTTCGCCTGGGCAAACCCAGGACAGGTCGCAGCCAAGTGGCTGTTCGTCACTCAAGAAGGGTGTGTCTTCTTGTGAGGGTACTCGTTTTGGACGCTGTGAAAAGGAAACTAAAAGGAGTGCACCCATGTGAGTCTGTCGTTTTTTGAGGGTACCCGTTGTTGCTATGTTTGCTGGGATTTTAGGGGAAACCAAGTGAAAAAACATCATTGCGTGAAAAAAACACCTCTTGATCGGTCGTGAAATCATTGATGAGTGAAAACACAAAGCAAAAGCTGCTGTCAACCACCTCAACATTCGAGGGCAGTGCCTGGTGCAGTCTTCTTAGTTTGTTCGCTGCTTTCGGCTTAGCGCTGAGTGCCTGGAAAAAAAAACACGCAGCGGTTCGGTGTTTGAGGTTTTGAAGTTACAGTTTGGGGATTTCGCACATTTCGGCATTTCATGGTGGGGGAATTTCGGGCTTAACGTGAAAGTTGATAGGGTGTTTAGGGATTAGGGCTTGGGGGATCTGGGCGTTGAAGGGGATTAGGGCTTTTGGGTAAAGAGGGTTTGGGGTGGCGGGTTTATGGCGTTAGGTGCTGTAGGTTTCAGGCTTTAGGGTTAATATATATATATATATATGTGCATAGACAAAGGTTTGTTTTTTTTGGGGTAAAGGGGTTTGGGACAGTTTGCTTTTTACAGTCTAGGGTTTGGGGTGTTTAGGGTTAGGGATTTTGGGGTGGGTTTGCCGGGCCTGAGGTGTTTCTGTGTTTAGAGTTTCCGGTTTGGACTGGTCTTTGGTCTTAGAATCTCGGGTTTTGAAGGTTTAGGGTTGCGTGTAAGGTTTTGGCTTGCTGAGTCCAGGTTTTGAGCTCGACCAAAAACCCAGAGTCACACGGCCAAACATATTCCGCCTCATGGTACCTTGGCTGTGTCTCTCTTAACGGCTTAGTCCCACGCTCTTCCGTGACATCGCCGAGAAAAGGTGCTCCTGCTTCTTGTATTGATCCTGACATCGAAAAAGGCGCAGGCGCTCGACGTCACATGGTAAAAGTGCAGCCGGAGTCTGAACTGTTTACATTTTCCTGCAGATTTCAATAACTTTGTGCAGGCCTGACAGGGAGCTTCGGGCACGTGGCAAGTAGTCTTCCAAGCTTCTTTCAAAGCTTATGTGGCAGTGGGAGTGCCAAGACCATTGCAAGGTGACGTGATCCCGTGAGTCTGAGTTCCCCCATGTCCCTCACAAATGAACAACATAGACTGATCCTGCAGACTTTGCCGACGAAAACATCCAGCTTTTTGCTGATGCTGCCCGACGCAGCTGCCTGTCCCGCTGACTTGAATTCATCCCCAGCATCTGCATCAAGCCTCGCTGGAAGGCGGTAAATCGTGGGCCTTGAAAGCGTAAGACCTATTCCTCCCCCCCCTTTCGATAGGAGTAACTAGACAGTCAGGACGTGGATCCAGAGCTTCCCGCCCAGGTCAAGGAACGCGTCCTGTAGCTCCTGCTTTAGGCTCTCCCTTTCCTGGCTCATCCTGACCGATGGAGCTAAGGCATCGGAGCACAAACACAATGGTTACTTGAAGAGAAAGGGAACGGCCGAACTACTCCATGCAAAGTGACAACCTCGCGGCCGAACAACCAACTACGGGCAGCACTCCCCGGTGCACTTGCTTTGAGAGTTCGGCAGCCTAACACGCACTGCCAAAAATATTAGTCTCATGCGCGCGCATGGCAGTCGCTTGTGCTTGTGATGCAAGCTTCACATGTGCGCGCAGCATGTGCCTGCGCGCGCACATTTGTCTCCCCCGCTCCCGGGATGAATGGGAGACCAACGTCCAAATGTGCAAAAAACGCAGCGGCCTTCTCACGGCCATGGTCCAACTATTGGGGTCAACATGCTACGCCACTGTGGTCTAAGCATCCTCCTGAAATTTCCCGGGAAACCCGTTTGGACCATGTGGCATCTCGTGTGGTGGGCGGCGTTTTGGCGGGAGCCCCGGTCAGGCAAAGAGGCGTTCAACGATTCAGTGGGCCGCGAGACGCTGTCCAGTCCTGGATTGAAGGTTCGCGACCTCTCGCTCTAGCCTCAGCAGCAATCTTCTGCCCGCCTATCTATCACCTTGTGCCTGGAGACGACGGGGACTTGGGTCAAACCTGGTTCAAAATGGAAGATACCCTAGGTCTTCCAGTAGAGAGGTTAGAATAAGGGTATCCTTTTTTCTGTGGTCTATTTTAGCAGGGAACCCCCCCGAAAAAAGGCTAAAAGGGCACTACTGGGGGACCTAGTCCGACTTCTTCCCGCCAACAGCGAGGCCGCGACAATTGCTTTTCCGACAGGAGCAAGGACTGGCTCTTCTCCAGCTCCCGGATCTGCGGACACGAAAGTGATGGCTTGGGGGCTTTGGGCACTTGAAACGCACCCTTGGATTGGTCAAGCCGGAAAAGAGGATCAATGAGACACCACAGGCCAACCCCACAGCTCCCCCAATTAACGGACTTGTTTTTGGTGGTTTACACGAACCCCCCCCCAAAAAAAAAGGTCACTGGGGTCCGGGACAATCCAAAGGATGCCACGGGAAGTCCGTGTGATGGATGCCACGGACGCTTGAAAGGTTCTCTTTCACCGTTCCCCCTGAATCTCGCAACCCGGCGGCCAAGAAAAGAAAAGAAAACCCAAAGACCTAGCCAAGCAATCAACCTGCTTCCATGCGATGTTCTCCCTGCCCCCCCCCCCCCCGCCCTACCCACCCCACCACCCATCCCAACCCCAATCCACCCCAACCCCACCCCACCCCACCCCACCCCACCCCACCCCACCCCACCCCACCCCACCCCACCCCACCCCACCCCACCCCACCCCACCCCACCCACCCCACCCACCCCACCCCACCCCACCCCACCCCACCCCACACCCACCCCACCCCACCCCACCCCACCCCACCCCACCCCACCCCACCCCACCCCACCCCACCCCACCCCACCGCCCCACCCCACCCCACCCCACCCCACCCCACCCCACCCCACCACCCCACCCCCACCCCCACCCCACCCCGCAAACCTTGCGAAACCTTCCTCTTGCCATTGCGCCGGCGGCGCGCCCGTGCCGAGACCAAAGTGCTTGACGTGCTTGACATCGACGCGGACCTGCCAAACAAGCAGAGGCGCTCTCTTGCACGATTTCTATTCCCTCGCCATGCCCACGCATGCTTGCTCGCACGCGATCGTTGTTCCTTCATCTGATGCGCGCGAGCTATTCGCATATGCTGTCCTCCCCTGAAGTGCCTTTGGGCTTGTTTGGAGAAGGCATCGTGTGGCTCTGGCCCTTGCTGCTGTTGGCTCGGCAGGTGCAAGGGCGGGGCCCTTGGACGCCCTGCTTGGAACACCCAAAGAGGGATGTGCTGGCTTTGCCACAGCAACTCTAGCTACAAGCTCTAGCCCTTGAACGAAAGGGCGACATCAATGTCAAGAGAGGCTTTCGTTGCATATTTGTCTGAAATGGGCAAAACTTTGTTTTCCTTTTGGGAATGGCCAAGGCTGGCCCCATCCGTGGTAGTGTGCCCTGACTGGCTGCGCACCATGGACCAAGGAGTCGGTGCCGACACGCGGCATGATGCTTGTGGAAATAGCAAACTGCGTTTCAAGGAGCGGGTTTTCCAACGTGTGGGTGGTAGTGAAAGATGTCTACAAGGAATAAATTGGCAAACTTGACACCTGAAGTCCTCAATAAGGTTAAAATAGCTAATGTCCTACACCCAAGGGCCCTGCAGCTCAAACAAGGCATTTTGTCCCTTTGCTGCCAGTCCTTGCTAACGAGGGGGGGTTGTAACCACGACAAAAACGCGATTTTGTCACCATGACAAGGTGCAATGTTACCACGGCAGAAAAAAAGCGTTACAGCGATATGTTTCTTGCGGGCTTATCCCGACAAGCAAGGAAATACAAATGAATAACGAGGTCAATAGAAAGGAATAAGAAGGAATAAGAAGGTCAATAGAAAGGAATAAGAAGGAATGAGAAGGTGAATAGAAAGGAATAAGAAGGAATAGGAAGGTGAATAGAAAGGAATAAGAAGGAACAGGAATAAGAAGGAGTGAGAAGGTCAATAGAAAGGAAGAAGAAGGAATCAATGGAAAGGAATGAGAGGGTCAATAGAAAGGAATAAGAAGGAATGAGAAAGTCAATAGAAAGGACTGAGAAGGTCAATAGAAAGGAATAATAGAAAGGAATAAGAAGGTCAATAGCAAGGAATAAGAAGGTCAATAGCAAGGAATAAGAAGGTCAACAGAAAGGAATAAGAAGGAATGAGAAGGTCATTAGAAAGGAATAAGAAGGAATGGGAGGGTCCATGGAGGGGAGAAAGAAATAAGAAGGTCAATAAAAAGGAATAAGGCAAATGGGCGCCATTTTTTGGAGCTGGTAGCATATTCGGCTTCAACGAAAAGAAAACCAAATTCCATTTTGCGGGTCCGAATCCCTAGTTAGATATATGCCTAAGTGTCAGGAAGCGGCTTTCTCTGTCGAACTTGAGAGGCTTCATTCCAACACCCGGAAGCATCCTCAGATCTTTGAAGTTACTTGAAAAGGATCCAGAAGTTGGGCGTGAACTTTTACTTGGGGACCCGTGCCGCACATGTAGGGGGCTCGGGGCTCCGACCCGTCAATTCATTCCGTCAACTCAGTGCAGTTTGGGATCAACCCAACCAACAAGTGAGAAACAGGTAGTGCCCGTAAAATTGCGTAGGTTCCCCCCGGATGAGAAAACAAGAGCCGTGCTACTGGACAGGGCAGTTGGTTGGATTTGGCAAGCACGATGGTTACATATTGACTGATTCTGGGTTTCAGTATTACTTCGGGGCCTGTAAGTCTCCCGATCCAGAACCTCGGCTGAGCAAATGACTTTACCCCGGGCTTCGCTGAAGAATTTAAAGGCTTCCCCGACAAGAACAAATGGCGCCGACCGAACATCTCTGCCGAGACGCAGCTCTCGTCTGCCTTGCCGGCATAGCATCTGCTTCGTCCTGCATTGACGCGCAAACACCAACTGTCACCACCACCATCGCTACTACGAATCATCGCCCCTGCCAGCCCGGCACTACCCGGACCATCACAGTTGCCCCCAGCCGGGGTGTCCTCACCACGACGCCCGTGACGCCTCGGCTCCGCGCGGCCAGCGCGTCCGCCTTGGCCGAGCAACGTGTTATGCCGCGAAAAGAAGGTGGCACTCCGGCCGATTTGCAAAAAAACAAGGTTCCTCAACGTGCCGGGGCCCCGCCCTGAAACTTCTTGCGCGCCAGGCGCGGCGTCTGGGGTCGCGGCTGGGTCGGCGGGTCGGTGGCTGGGGCTGCGGCTGGCGCTGTCGCGCGTGACGGCTGGAGGGAAAACTATCCTTTTGGTATCCCTCGGTGTCTGGGAAGATTATTTTTTACACTAAAAGGATGAGACGTATTTCTAGCTCCGGGGGTTTATTCCCCTTTTTTTGAACCTCGTTCAGGAAGTGCCACCCACACTCAAAGACCCCAAGGCCTTTGTGGATTCAAGCACAGCCTTTGCGCGTGTGCCCCAATTCGCCATGCGGCGGGGAGCGGCGGTACTAACGCTGCTGGCGCTGGCGCTGGTGCTGGGCGGGCCAAGTATTGTGCTATTGGATGAGGCGCCAAAAGGGGCGCCCTTTCCAGTGAAGAAGAATGTATGAATTGCTGAGGATTGGGGAGGTTTTCTGACAGAAATGCCCACTGCTGAGCAGATAGGTTTTCCTGTTTGGCTCTACTTGTTGTCTAGACCCGACAACCCCCACAAGACCCCAAAACTGTAAGGCATGAGCAAAGGGAACTGAAACTTTCTGCGTTCTCCTCGAACAGTGAGTTTCAGGGCTCATATTGCCCGTTTCAATATCATACGTCACTTGCTGGTATCAACAACATACCGACCCTCTATGATCCAGCTGAGCCGACCATCGGAGTCACAGACAACAATGGCCTTCTTCATTTTAAAGGGAAATCGAATGATATACATATTTCGGTAGACCCCCGTGTCTTCCCCAAACTGACAACATTGGCCTTCTCATTCCTTCTTATTCCTTTCTATTTACCTTCTTATTCCTTTCTATTGACCTTCTTATTCCTTTCTATTGACTTTCTTATTCCTTTCTATTGACCTTCGTATTCCTTTCTATTGACCTTCTCCTTCTTATTCCTTTCTATTGACCTTCTCATTCCTTCTCATTCCTTTCTATTAACCTTCTTATTCCTTCTTTTTCCTTTCTATTGACCTTCTCATTCCTTTCTATTGACCTTCTCATTCCTTCTTATTCCTTTCTATTCTCTTATTCCTTTCTATTGACCTTCTCATTCCTTCTTATCCTTTTCTATTGGCCGTCTTCCTTCCTTTTCCTTTCTATTGACCTTCTGATTCCTTCTCATTCCCTTCCATTCTTATTCCTTTCTATTATCCTTCTTATTCCTTTCTATTGACCTTCTCATTCCTTACTATTCCTTTCTATTGAAATTCTCATTCCTTTTATTCCTTTCTATTGATCTTCTTATTTCTTTCTACCTTCTCATTCCTTTCTATTTCCCTTCTTATTCCTTTCTATTGACCTTCTTATTCCTTCGTATTCCTTTCTATTGACCTTCTTCGGTAACAGAACTGTGGTTCTTGACGCAATTTAGGGTGAGGCGCACGAAAAAAACATTTCGGGGAAAATGGGTCTAGCTACCTCGACTAGTCTTTCTTATGGCCTCTGAAACCCTCGAAAAGTTCCTTAAGTTGGGGCATGCGACCCAAGGGCGCAGGAATTACTCCGCCTCAGAGAGGAAAAGGGATAGCCAGCTTGCTGATTTGTGCATTTGATGCTTATTGTTTCCATTCAGAACCAAACATTGCCACAAATATACTTTGGTCTTCTTCACACTTTTCATTTGGCACCTCACCGGAGTAGACTCACATTCGGGATTCGGGACCTACGAAGTTCTTATTATTCGGGGCCCACTTAAGACCCCTATTTCCAACCTCAATTGTGGCGGCGAAACAGGTTTTCTGAAAGCAGGATGTGAAGTGAAGAGGACTTCTATGGAGCAGATTCCGCCACGCCTTTTCTTGGAAGCCGTCATAATGGCGGAACAGCTTCACATGAGGAGACCGTCGACTTATTGGTGACTGCTAAACTGCCTCCATCGCCGTGTTAGTTGGTTTCGGCATGAAGATATGGTAAGCGGCTGGGTTACGTTCACAGTCATCGAGCCGCATGAATACCCCCCACCCCACCCCCAAGCCCACCCCCAAGCCCCCACCCCCCCAAACCCCACCCCAACCCCCCACCCCACCCGCCCCCCAACCCACCCCGCACAAAACAAAAAGAAGAACAAATCGGTCTCCTTGAGCTCCTCAGCTTGGAGCAGGCTTTCAGCATTGCCTGGCACGGAGCACGGCAAAAGACATCTCCGTATTCAAAGTGCTAGGCTGCTAGGAGTCTGCGTATGGTTGTCTGCCACTATACCTATATGAAATCATATGTATACATTTATCTATATATGTACAGAGGTAGATAGATAGATGTATAAACACATGTATACGGCTGCATCCTCAGTGGCAGCAAGCGCAAGAACTCATATAGTTCAGCTGTGTTTCCTGCCATGCTCTATTTGTTGTGTGTCTGTTCTTTGGTTTTGTGTGTCCACCTTCATGACACGCATGCCTGGCAGCCGATCCATATCTTACTTCAAGGCTTGGTCCCTCCCATTCTAGTCGCATGCTGCTCGCGCCTTGTGCTGCTTTGACATCCTTCAGGGCACTCAGCGTTCCACGCAGCTTCGCCTCCTAGGCAAGTATTGCGGGTCAGCGGGTGCAGTGGGGTTTGGGACGGGCGGGAAATGATCAAAGGGACCTAGCCAAGCTCTTCAATGCTGCATTGGCTTGCATTTTGCCTTGCCCGACTCTTTCCAAAAGTTTGAGAAATGATCGGGCTGGACTTCGGCGTAAACATCCAACTAGGGTACCCAAATGGCATCCCGACCCGATTCAGAGACATAGAAGTACCTCAAAGGCATGCCACAATTTGGACCCACCATGCCAACGTAAATGCACAAGGGAGTGGCGGAGCATGGAGCCCGCCCCCCCCATTCATGTGAACTCACGTGAACCAAGCAGAACCCATTTTGAGGGGCTAAGATTCTTCCGTGACAACAAACTCATGCCCCCCTGTCATGGCCGTTTCTCGCACGGATTTGGGAATGAAGTGGTCTAGGGGAGTCAAGCCACATCAACTAACTGAGGACACCTCAGACGTGCCAAAAATGCAGCCCCCATTTTGGCTCTTTGTACAATGCAAGGGAAAAACCCATGACTAAAAAGGGGGCGCCCTGGTGTAGAGACACCTGCAACAATCCAGACATCAGCCGAAGTCTTGCCAGGGTCCGCTATGCACCACATCCATCACACAAGACCCCAACTATCCGCTGGCTCCAATCCATGTATGGCTTTGCTTGCGCCGGCATCTTCAGCACTCCAAGAACTTGTTTTTTTAAAGTTCTCAAACATCACCAGGTTCTTCGCGGGAAAACCGGGTACGGTAGCATGGGGTTTGCATGGGGTTTGCACGGGTTTTCAAAAGCAAAACCAGTTTGTTTGCTGGAAAACCGTGTCTTTGATAAGCAACAGAATCCAAAACAAGGTCTTTCGTTTGCACCCTTGATTTTGAAAGGTTCATTGGTGCAGCAAACTTCCATTGGAAAGGATGAACAAAGACCACTTCCCCTGGCCATTCTGTTGGGCCCCCTAAAATGTGTGTCTGTGTGTGTGTGTGTGTTTTGTTTAACCACTTCCCCCCGTTTTGGTGGGCGCCCTAGAATCGCCCTCACCGCCTCACCTGCGAAACTCCCCGGATGCAAATGCCAGTTACCCCTGGGCCCGGTCCTCATGCCGCTTTTCCTCCCGCAGATCTTCGGCCAACTTGGACTGCCTCGGTGGAGACAAATTTGGGTGTGGCTCAAAATTAAACAGGAGGAGTTACACAGGCTTTGAGTCCATGTTTCCACTTACCATTGTTCCAGTTTGGTACCGGTTTTTGCGCGCAGCCATTTGGGTCTGTGTGGTTTTTGCTTGGAAAGTACCCTGTTTGGTGCTCGTTTCAAGGGAAACCAAAAGGAAACCAACCATTTTGGGGTGGCCCTAGGCATTTGCGAGGAGCATCCCATTGGACTCGAGTCTTTCAACCTATCAGTTGCTTCTTGCAGGTCCGCTTCAGACCGCCTCTGCTTGGACTTTTAAGCAAACCACAAATGCCTCATCTTGGGTTGACCTCGGTCAACACTTTAGCCCAGACCCCCAAGGCAATTGACATCAGTGCCAGTCAAGCAGCCCTCAGAACTGCGTGATTCGCACTCATCTAGAGGATTGCCCTAGAATGCACCAAGCTGTTCAGTGACCCTGGTAGGAACAGGGAACACACATTTAAGGGTCAGCTATTTTCGATGGGAAGCCATCAAACGTAAACCGAAACAAGGCCCTTGGTGGAACATTCACCACCCTTCCGACCAACAGGACTTCGAGGCTTCGACCATTTTCTGGTTCCATGTTGTACACCCTCTGTTTGGTTGTGAATGGGGTTATCTCCCTAGATTTGGGGTTTACTCTGTTCCTAAGATTCATAAGCCCATTTACAATCAAAACAAAGGCGGCCACGAATGTCCCGTAAAGGCTCACAGACTGACTACAAGAAACCTCCGCGTGATATCGACAGAGTCCCACCATGACATCCTTGCGGCATAAGTCAAGCCCTAAATTCAAGGACTCATGTACACTTCGACATACCGAACCCCCTTTCCTCTTTAAACATTGAAAACGCATCAAACAAAGCCATACCCTCGCATCATGAGCTTGGGTTGGTCTCTTTCTTCCGGGCACCTACATTTCATGCGGTGGCTTCCTTTGGATTCCAAACAAGACAGCAGACCCATTTCACCACCGTATCGGAACTTGGCTGGAAGTAGGACCTCAGCCAAAAAACTGCATTTTTGCCTGGTTAGCGGAAAACAAAAAAGGGGACCTTCCCAAAAAAAGGAAAATCCGGAAGGCGAGAAAACCTATATGTTGGCCGGGTTTTTGGATAACCAAGAGGGGAACCCCAAAACAAAAACACGAAAATAACAGGGAGGAGCCACTTTCGGGGGCAGAAACTCGGCCGCCCGCACGGTGCTCCCAGGGGTCCCCGGCTGGTTGAGCCGGTCCGTGAGCTCCTTCTTCTCCCGCTGCAGCTGCTTCGAGGACTCCTGGGAAGCTGATCTCACACGATCCGCCCCTTCTCACCGTCCAACTGCGGTCCTTAAGCACGGGACCATGGATTTGATATGCATGCATGCATACATACAAACCCAGTTGACATGCATAGCCATTGAAACATATGACTTTGACACATACCCACTTGGACACATAGCCATTTGGCTAAGGAAAAGTGAGAGGGGAGCCCAAGTGATTGGTGGACATAAATCCCCACCGACATGATGTTCGCCAAAGGGCCCTTCATCAAAATCATGCCCGTGTGTCCAAATTGGGCGGAGGGTACCTTTAAAGCTAACACACCCATGTGGGAAGTTTCAGGCACCGCTCAGCAGAAAGCAAAAAAAACAACAACATCCGTTCTTGGATTAAATCTCCCTTTAGGGGGGAAAGGGCGCCCCCAAGTGGGGGTCTATGTTAATTTGCAGGATGTTGTCTTGAAGGTATGAAGCTTCTACTCCACTCTGAGTCTTGTGCAATAAGCCAGCATCCCTCCAAGACACATGCATGGACACATCTTCACGCAGATGGGTCATTGTAGGTGGAATCCCATCCAAAAACATGATCGTCTACAAAAAACAAAGCCATCGTCCAATATCAAAAATTCGGCAACTTCATGCAGTCCATTGCCACTACAAAGACCATCTATGGTAGAGGACTCCGCCGGCTCATCTGAAACAAGCACGCCAAGGATGAAGAGCGGAAGAGGATGTCCATCTTCTCCCGCTCGGAAAACAAGAAAGAGATAGAGAAAAACAACCACTGTCAGACTGCAGCCCATATTTGTGCGAACTTTTAAACATGTAACACTGTCCTGGAGAGCCTTTTTGGAGTTGCTTGAAATAGAGAAGAGAAACCACCCCTTTTGGAGGCTCAAAAGTTCCTGTATTTTGACAAACCCAAATGTCAAATTAGGGTTGGCCCACCCCCTTGTTTAAACATGGATAAGCCAATATTGTTCGAGCCACCTCCTTTGGGTTTGCCTAACGGAACCGAATCGGGTCTGCTTGTTCAACTAAATTTTGCCACTGAATATGATGAGGGGTGTTGAAAGAAACTGAACCTGCAATGCTGTCGCCCTTTTTTGGTTGATATCAAACAACTAGCCTTTCAAATCAACCACTCAGGGTCTGGTTCTTTCGCTCAGTATGTGTCAAAATAGGGGTCCAACACGCTGGTTTGCCTCTTAGTTTCTTTTTTAAACACGCTTGAAACATGAGTGTCCCTCGGTGTGATTTGGATTGGTGTTTAGAGGTTACGGGTTTCCCATTTGAAGGGGTCAAATTCAACTGCCCGCCAACAAGCAAGAGTATACCTCAACTACCATTTAAAACAGCGAGCCACCCAAACAATCCCGAATATCAATCGAACTCACCGAGGTATATTTTAACACCCCAACCAATCCCAAAAGACACAAACAAAAACAAAACCAGCTTCTTCTAGCAACACCCCCAAGAACAAAAAGTATGAAAGCAAATTACCCCAAACAACCAACACACCCAAACTCAACCATGCAAACCCCAAACCCAAGAAACCCACCTTTTTGTTGCCTTTCCCTCTATTTTTGGGTCTCCCCTGAACGACCCCGTTTCAGGCGCGGGCCTCCAGGTCCCGCCGCAGCTGGCGCTCGTACTCCAGGCGCGCTCGGCCCACGCTCTCCTCCTTCTCCGCCTCCGGAGGCTCGTAAATGGTGGATAGATTAATGATAACAAACCACCATCTCAGTAAGCCCAAGGGTTTTAGCTCCTGTGGTTGTATCTACCCAACCTTTGTTTTAATGGTGACAACTAAATGGGCTTCTCTTCTCAGCAGGGAATGAGAAATGGAATGACCCCGATAAAAACCATCTGGCTGTGGGTCAAAGATACGAATCCCCAAAATAGGTTGCCCTGGTAAATGGAACCAAAGACTAAAACCTGCGCACCAGAACAACCCCCCCGAAAATCTGGTGATCCCAAGCTTGTCGATATTGAAAGGGGGGGAGGGTTTACTAAGAAGGTTCCAACATTCTCGATTGCACGCTTTTGTATTTCTCTCTCTCTCTCTCTCTGTCTCTTTACATGTATATTATATGTAAACATATATGATACACACCTTCCTGCATGCTCGAAAATTGCCGACAAAAAGGCGAAAATGTCCGACTGCGGCGCAAACAAATGTGACCGCCGGCGATGTTTGCGCCCAGAATGCATTTCGCCACGCCAAAGTGAACAAACACGTGTTTTCGGGCCAACGCCTAAATTGTTTGACCCCCTCCAAAAATCCAGGTATATATTAATACATAATGTCCGTTAGGTTATACAATGTAAATATGGGATGGAATGTACTGAAACATGTAGCGTATGTGCGTACATGTAAGCATTCAAACCACTCTGACATTGGTGCCATGAACGAACACGCACAAACACAAGCCCATACGTGCAGTGCAGCCAGCAAGCCAGGGAAAAGAGGGCTGCTCTCTTACCCGCAAGGTACAGTACTGTCCATTCACTACAGACAGATTACAGGCAGCCCTTGCTGTTAGCCTCCCCAGCCCCTACAATGGAATGCCTGAGCCACCGAGTTCCACACGTAAACCACAACTGATCAAACCTGTCCCTTGCGGTTTCTCTTCTCAGCCGTGGTCTGCTTGTTGAAACGAATGAGCAGCGCCCAAATTATATTGAGAAACACATGTTTCCAACAAAGATGTCGCACAGGTGTATGCCTCTCAGTGCATGCGTCTCAGCATAGCATGATCCGATCCCAATGAAAAACCTTCAAACACCAAACACAAACACCAAGCGCAAACGGGTCCCACGGAACATCCTGCCTGTGTCAACCAAACAGTTAAAATGCAGTAAAGTCAAAGATCTCAAAACCATTTCCAAAGCTCCAAAGTATGTTAAAGTCCGAATAGCCACCAACAAGGTACAATATGCTAAAGTCCATAGATCCAGCCACATCGGTAGTGATAGATTCCCCCTAAAACTCCACAGAGCAAAATAACAACGTATATTGTCTAAGCTTAAATGGACTTGCTGGTGCTCAGCAGGGAATGCGGGAATGAGGGAATGACCCCAAAAACAACCCTCTGAACGCCAGCAAGTGGAAGCCAAACTAGGTCCTCCAGTAGAGGATAGAAACCATTTTTCTGTAGTCTATTTTAGTAGGGCAACCCCTCCCCCAAAAAAGGGGAGAGAAGGGCACTACTGGGGGGACCTAGCAAAGGTCCCAACTTCCGCCCGCCCGCCGCTCCGAGGATCCGGTCGGACCTGTCCGCGCCTGGGCCTTGGCCGCGCGCAGCTCCGAGAGCTGAGTTTGCAGCGCCTGGCAGCGCTCCGCCAGGTCCTTCGCAGCCGCCGAATCCGGCGGGCGCGCGCGACGGGCAGACGGGCGGTCCGTTTTTGCAGATCGGGGCTCTCAGACCTTCCCGGACGGTGGCTCAGGGTCTAGTTCTTCGCAGTGGCGGTGAACATTTGAAAAGTAAAAAGATAGAAAATAAAGGAAAAAGATAAGGAGAAAAGAGAAAGGAGGGGCCAACAGCAAGATGGGCTTGCCGTCAAAATAGGGCAACCCCAAAATGGGTGTCTTCTGGCAAACATTCCCGACTGGTTCACTCGGAACAAACAACTGTGATTCAACATCATGAAGAGCCCAGTTTTGATCTGTCGGCTGTCCTCGGAGATCCCCTGCTAAAAGTGCAACTTGCGGGTGAAATTCGGAAACCCAACCATGCAGTAAACCTAAAAAGTTAAGGAAGCAGATGGCTGGGAACCACCAAGGTTAGTGCTTGTTCTGTTTAACACCAAGGCCAAGACTCCCCTACTGGGTGGTTTATCCCACTATTTATAGGGGTTCGTCTAGTGGTGCACAATTTCGTCCACTGTATTTTGTCCAAAACTGAGGAAGCGTGAAACATGGTGCCAAAGTAGCATTGCCAGCTTTGCTTTCAAACTTCTCTTTCCTCCCGCTCTCGCTTCACACGCAGCAGCTCCCGGTCGTCTTGCCTCAGCGATAGATGTGTGCCCTAGGTGTCCTTTTGGGCAAATACATCGGTCCCACTGGCGGGACTAGAGCCAAACAGAAATCAGTGATTTCCATCCATGTTCAACCAAACCGACCAGCAAAGGACACCTAATGACAGATTGTTCGCAAGGGATGCTACACCCATATGGATTGCTCTCCTGAGATCTGGGACAATCTATCTAATAGCTTGTTTCCGCTGGGAAGAGTCCAGCAGGCCAGGTCCCATTTTCTGGTGACACGTTGCTGAAAGACAGTTGGCTCCACTCTTGCTCTCAACTCTTTGTTCGGGCCCCGCAAACAACCCAGCTTGCACTTCCTTCGGCTGCCGTGCATGATAACTCAAACTGCTGGACACAAGAATTCAACGAGGAAGCACCCAACTCTCCAAGTGATGCAAAGGAATTGTCAAAATTTCACTAAAAGCCCACAAGTGTTCACGCACATGAATAAAATACTCGCGAGTAACGTTTTCAAAATGCAAGGCTCTAGGTTGGTTCTGCAAATGTTGGCGTTCTGAACTGTTTGAGGCATATGGGAATGCAACGCCACATTTAAAAACTACCCTTTGGGCAAGCCTTTAAAGGGACCAAATCGGGTCGGTTGTTGTGACCAACCCGCTTGCTTCCTCCAGCGCTCTGGGCCACCCTAGCGGAGCTTCGCCTAAGGGATGGCCAGGCGGCAGGCCAACAGCAAGATGGGCTTGCCGTCAAAATAGGGGCAACCCCTAAAATGGATGTCTTATAGCACACATCCCCGACTGGTTCAGTCGAAGAAAAAAAGAAAACAAAACAAAAAAAAGGAAAAAGAAAAAAAACACATTGACATGAGGAGCGCAGTTTTCATCTCTGCGCTGTCCTCAGATCCCCTGCTAAAGCTTTCACTTGTGGTTTAAATGGACCCCCCCCCCCACCGCCTAAAAAGCTAAGGAAGCAGAGCTTTGGGACCCACCAAGATCTCAAGCGCTTCGTTTCGCGGGGAGTCTCTTGGTAGAGACATCCGGGATCCGTGCCGCGGCTTGTGGGGGCGTTGCCCGGCACGATGCCCGCCTCGAGTGGACATCCGAATGCCAGGCACAGGTAGGGTCTGGGGCGCTCTCCCAAGGGTGGACCCTAAAGATCATTGACTCATGGAAAAGCCTTTGTTTCGAATGGTCTAAGGGGATCACCTTTGATGTGGGTTTGATTTATGAAAAAGCCAAAATTGTTTCACAAGGTCTAAGGGGCTAAGGTCACACCAAAGACCAGTCAAGGTAGATGGCACGATTTATCGCAAGTCGGCAAGGGATGACTAAACCAAAATGAAGCGCTTGTGCTTTTCACGCAACTGCAAGTTGGGTGAAAAAAAAGTGCCGAAGTGTTCTGTGTTGGCTTCATCCCTTTTGTGCCATCCGCTCTCAACCTGATTCCATCGCCCGGATAGGGCTGAATGCCTTGCGCTGCGATGTCTACGCTCGAACGTGAAGTTCACGAAGTTTGGTTCATTGCTTCCCTACCTCCAGTAGAGAGGTTAGAATAAGGGTGCCCGATTGTTTTTCTGTAGTCTATTTCAGTAGGGGAACCCTCTCCCAAAACAGGGTACAAGGGCCCTAAAACAGCCTGGGCAGGGCAGCAGCCGTGTTGCTTCCATGCAATTCATGCCATTCATGAGGACCAAGCGTCGCGTGGGAGCCTACCAGACTCTTCCCAAACCCAGAGACACACATTAAGGCCAACCAAAAGGGGGTTCTCCCCGCACCCACAGCACTCAACAAACCACGCTGCCTACCTTGCGAAACTCAGGCTGGACACACTTACGCCATTCAAACCCAACCCGTCGCCATGAGCAAGAAAGGGCAAGTTTTGGTGCTTGACTTTAAAGGGGCCCACCCCCTCCGAACAAACTGAGACAAAGGTCAACAGGGCCGCTCTGGGAAAAACCAATGCCACAAAAAATAGCACACCCAACCCACCAACGCCGCTGGGCAAACCAATGCCACAAAAGGAGCACACTCCACCCACCAATCAAAAAAAACAACACCGCTAGGCAAACCCATGCCACAAAAATAGCACACCGAACCCGAAAAGGAAAACATATCGGCGAGCATTGCCGGATCCCGGATCCATTCTTGCGCCTCCAGGGTCTTCACCTTCTTCACCGCGGCGTCCCTGTCGTGGGTGGCCTCCTCCAAAGCGTCCTGCACCTCCTGTGCCGCGGGGTCCGAGCCGCGCGGCGTCACAGCCTCACAGCCACGCGGTCCCCGGCGTATCCCCCGGGCCCCGCGCGGCTTCGCGGGTTTCCCAAACACCCGTTGCGCTGGTCATCTCTGGGGATGTGTTGAAGAAAAAACAATACAAATTGCTCTTCTTAACTCATGTCTTGCTTGGAAAACACGAACCACGGATGCCGGTTCACGCAGTGTATAATCAATGCATTTGCAACGCTGAATCCTTCCCATTTGGGTGACAAACATGCCCCCATTGCCAAGCGGCCACCAGAATAGTGGCTTGGCCAAACAGTCCAAGTTCGTTCTTGTACCAGTGAAATGATCTTCTCACAAAGCAGTAGTTAGTATCAACGTACATATGTGTATGTGTGTGCATATATACATAGAATATATATATATATATGTTAATCGATATATATATATATATATATATATATTATACTTTGTGTGAGTCAGCGTCAAATTGCTTGTCTAGGTTGTATTCATTCCGAGGTTAGGACGTCCCGTATCGTTCCTAGTGCTTTGCTTTGTTCACAGATTTGGGGTATCGCTTTTTTGGCCGTCCCACATTGGTTTTCAAGCAACAAACAAAAAACGACATGTGCACGAAGCGCTCCTGCATAAAGTGAATGATGGTAATCTGAAAGCTGGCTGATATACTGACTGCTATGCATAGTCATGAGGCGAGGAATAGCATGGTCAGTCTGAAATCCACACACCGCCCACCCAAACAGGGGGGACGCCCCAAAATTGGGGACACCCTGTTTCTGCAACAAACCTTTGAAACCAATCTGAAAAAGGCTTGTTCCAATAAAAGCCAACACGCACACAGCAACGTCACAATGACAATCACTACGACTCTCAGAGACTCATTTCATTTCCCATCGAAGAAGCGAGGGACATGAGCTAAAGTAAACACCGCGCAATTCTTCGGATTAGTGGTGTCCTGCAACTGGGACACCAATTCCTTCAGCTCTTTGCTCTTCTTCTCCAATTCTTCTTCCTGACCGAGGCGAGCCGAGAGCGAGCACCTCTCGTGTAGCCGAGAGAGGGTCATTCCCACATTCCCTACTGAGCACCAGCAAGTTCAGACACCTGTTGTTTCAGCAATCTCCTTTGTCTCGCCTTTCAAGGTGAGGGCCTTGCTCAAACAACATTCAGCATAACCCCTGAGTCACGTGCTTCGGCGGGGTCAGACATGGGCGTGTCTTCTGAGGCAGCCCAAAGAATCGGTTGTCTCTGTCGGGTTTCCTTTGAACATGGATCCTTACATTACACACCTGAACATTGCCTTGTACATGGTGGTTTCCCTTTATTCTGGTGGAATTGCCATGTTTCAAAAATGGGCAAAATGTATCTTTTAAGGAGCCCTGTTGAAAACAACACAAAAGGGGCAAGGAGCCACACTCGAATTGCAGTCAGGCCACGAACTGCTGCTCTCGGTCTTCCAGCTCGACCTTGCTGCTCACGTCTTCGCACCTGAACGTGGGGAAAAAGACACGGGCGGTCGAAGCCACCCAACCTCAAAAGGGGGGGCCCCAATTCTGTCTTTCTAGTCTCCTCTGAATGGAACTGCTGGAGTCACCCCCTAAGCTGTCCTAAGTTGGGGATGGCAAAAATTATTAGGCACACGCAACCTAACAAAACGGCCACCTGATCAGCTGAAGTCGGTTCCCGTACTGGGATGGGTCCCTCATGACGGGAAAGGGGGCGGAGGTGTGGTCACAAGCATTTGTGAGGCCAGCCGACATTCCGTTTAGGGCGGTGATGGACCTACGGACAGTAGGGCTACCATGCGTTCGTCGACAGCTTTCCTTGGAAGCTACCTGCGGGCAACTGATTTCCCGGCGGGCAATGAAACCAACGCAAGGCCCTTGTACCCAATACACGTGATGGTCTCCAAATTCGTCTTTAGCTAAGAAAGCCAACCGGTTGCGATGTCTGGGGTTGGATTTGTTCGGGGTCACAAAGCAACTTGGCAGTAGCAAATTTACGCATGCCCGACTCAGTCCAGTGTCCACTCACCAGAATTGATCCCAAAGAATGTTTAGCTTTTCCATGGAGAGCGGCAAAAAAGTCGACCAATGGTTTACCACGTGGTTTTGATGTCAATCCACCGTGAGAGTTGCCCCATCCAGTCAAACCATCAAAAGCTGACCCGACCTAGAACCTTGAGGCCAATTAATTGTTGGATCGTACACCCTACAAGGGCTATATCGCCCCTCCACGTTGGCCCCTCGGTTGGCCCTATGTTGGCTTTTGCGTGGCCCTCCCTCCGAAAGTAAGAAATCAAGAAGCTGGAATACATCTGATTCCCGTGTCGCTGCCTGTTGGCAAGATTACATTTGACGATGATGTCATAGGTACCAAGTTTGGTTTCACAATAAGCTTGCTCCCGTTCGATCTAAGCGAGGATTGCCGTGCTGTTTCTGCTCGGCCTTCTGATTCTTATTTGCTTATTCTGCCTCCTTCCGACCCTGTTCAGATTCAAACCCAACTCAGGGCCAACATAACGTAGTTGTTTGCTGTAACGTTGTTCTTCATGTATTGGTTGGAGGAGGTATGTGAGAACAGGGCGCATGTATGCTATGCTGATCTTAGTTGAGTCATGGTGTTTGCCATTGCATCCTAAGTAATAGGTGTAAGATTTGAGGCGGGGGCTACTTGGTGGGGGCAATTCGTGGGTTGCTCTTCTGTATGACTTAAGCAATGTGGCAAGGTTTCAGAATGCATCACCAAACAATGCAATCGCCCTCGAGTCCGACCAAAACCCTTAATTCCTACACCTGCAACAGCCATGGACCAAACACACGACACCTTTTCTTTGGTAGATCTCAAAGGAAAGTCCTCAAACAAAAACCGGAACAATGGGACAAATACTTTTTTTGGGTAGCTGACCTCAAACGGAGACATTTGTTGCCTGACCTCAAAAGAAGGCGGCAACGTGGATGACATGCGGCCAAGTTTCAAATCCCGTACCCCCAGTGAACATCCCAATCCCCACTAGACTAAAATGAGTGGTGCACTTACCCCAAAATGGGATCCCATTAGTTTTGACCCACAGCCAGATGCTGAAGCCTGGCAATTCTCCCCTTTTGCTTTGTGGCTGTCACGGCTTGGCGCAAGCAACGGCTGGGATCCGTGGGTCAGCTGTTCACGTCCAACGGCCGAGGCGCTTGGCTTCCAGGTGCCGCAGCGCCTTGCGCAGGGCTACGTTCTGCTCCACCACCTCCTGGCCAAAAGCAGCATCCCAGTGCTAAAAGTGTTTGCCAACTCTATGGTTGATGGTCTCTGGACGGTCTCTGGAAGCACCGGCTTCCTTGTGCCCGCGTTTTCCTGGCAGGCGCTTGGCTTAGGAAAAGCCGGCTTCTTCTTCCAGGCTCTGAACAAGCCGAAAAGCAAATCGTCGGGTGAAGGTAACCATGGGAACCACCAGTCAGTCAGCTCCCCACCAATTAGTGGTTTGATGTGGTTTGTTCCATGTTCGTTGCTGGGAGGGGTAACCATGGGAACCACCAGTCAGTCAGCTTCCCACCAATTTGTTTGGATTGGTGGTTTGGGGATTTGAAACCCTGCTTCTTGTAGAGGGTAAACGGGAAACCGTCTGTAACCACCAAGGTACCAAGCCAAACCACCAACTAGTGGGAACCACCCTGACTGGTCAGCTTGATCTGATCAAGTGCTCAAAGGCAACCCTCTTTCAAAGAAACAAGGAAAATGACTGGCGAGCTTGATCTGATCGAGTATGCAGGCACATGCTGAATGCAGCTAGCACCACTTAAATGTCAAGAACATACTTTGAATAAACATCTGTGAGCTTGGACTTTGTGCAGAACACGAGTTCAAGTCAGCAACATAGCAACATGTGAAACAAGCCTATACATGGTGAAACACATAGATGATGCGCTTGTTACGTCTTGCTAACAACTTTGAGCTGTAAACAACCCACAGCTGTTAAACAATCCACCGCAAACACAGCACGAACACGATGCAACATGATCACAACACTGAAGACACCACATTGTCAAAGCCCCAAAGGGTCGCTCGCTCTGAGGGGTGTTGTCGAAGCCTCCCAAGCTCCGCGATGCCAACACTCCAGCCCCAGGTAGCCGGCCTCCACGTTGCTCAAAGGCCATTTGTCATCCTCTTCCTGCAGGTAAAGGGCCGTCGGCATTGTGCTCTGAGTGCTTCTCAAAGTGACAACCCCCACTAGGTAGCGGATGCCTTTTGTTGCTAGTTTCCCTCTCAAATCCAACTAACACGGAGCTCATTATTTTCAGATAGGCCCATGTATTTTCTCACACAGCTGGCGGTCGTTCCCCTGCCACAAAACTGGAGTGACTGCCAACCCTGCGTTGTGTTCGCGAAACATGCGATAGCGGTACATTCTTCCATCGAATGGAGCGGTGTAGTACCTTGCCCCCCCCCCCCGAAGCAGTCACATGCGAAAAAAAGAGACACCACTTGCCCACTTTCCATGAAATTGAACGAGGAACCGACTGGGTCAGCCAACCTGCTCAGCTGCTTTGAACAATTTCAAGGGCTCCCTGAGCCCGAAAGTGGTCGGCTCCTGAAGTTGCTCCCTTTTGGCTGCTCCTAAAACCCATGCCACATGCTAGTCATGAAACACACCCAGCGCCCAATCTCCTGAGCCCCTCAGCCCTTCGATATCCTTTGATCCACCGAGCCTTGCTCAAGGAGAAGAAGGTGAGGTTGGATGCTGCGAGGTTGGCATTCTCTCGCCTCAAATGCGAGATGCGAGGAACGAAGGCCATGAAGCAACGACCACCCCACCCAGAATCCACAAGGAGAACGGAGCATGTTGAACTTGGGAGTATCACCTTCACCCCTCGGCACGTACAGTAACGTGATGTCTGCACTGGGAACCCCATTCAACAAATGGGATCGCTTCTTCGTACAATTATCATACGGAGCTTACACATTTTAGACTTTCTTTTTCCAAAGGGGAACCCATGAATTCACTCAACTAAATGGATCAACACTGTGCATCTAAAGGGGTCAACACTGTGCATCTATGCTTGACCGTGCGCCTCAACTGTGAAGATCTTGCCCCAAACGGCGCCTTGAATGACAACGGGAAAACAATCCCGCCCAAACAGGGTATGTCATCAACAAATCAACTTAGATTCCATTTTCCAGTTGTCCTGCCAAAGCGCCGCCATGCAGCTGTGGTCTCACATTCAACTTGATCAAACAAAGCCCGTGCAAGCAAAGAAGCGGCCTTCGTCAGATGCAAGTCAGCCAACATGATTGCTCTAGAGCAATGCTTTGTACTGTAGGATCTGATGTCGATTCCAAAGCAATGAATGACTTTTCGCGCTCTTTCGCTCTTACTGTAGTCGGGCAGTCGAGTCATGTTCCCTGGCCCTTGAAGTGTTGTTGATGCGGTCAGAAACAGAGATGCCGAGAACATTTGAGCACCCTTCATCTTTCCACATCATCCAAACCAGATTCGGGAGCATTTGAACCGGCGTGTTCTTGGGACAATTCTTACACACAATGAGCTTATAATATGTGTTGCATGGAAATTGGGGAGGGATGAATCAATACTTACAATCAATTGTCAACCAACTTAACATAGTGGTGGGTCCCTGTGCGGCAAATGTTTCTGACGAAGAGCAATCTAGCTGGCGGACGCCTGAGCTGGCTGGTGCAAATTGCATCACGTTGAAGAACATGCTATGAACCGCTTGTAAACAAGCAAGCGCAAGCTGGCCCTGATATGAATAGTCGGCCAGCCTTTTTGTTCAGCATTGTGCGCGGGGTGGTTTTTCAGGTACTCAAATGTGACGTTACTTCGCCGTTCTGTTTTTCTTATTCCCCCCTTTCCCCCGCCCAACATGTGCAGTGTTCCTAGTGCCAAAAAACAGCAAAACGTTCCATGCCTGCACAAAAGTAACACACACGCACACAGAAATGGGTATGCCCCAAAATTGACGCACCCTACTTTGACCTTGACTGAACATAGTACTACTTCAGTACCCAAGGGCGATCTGGCCCCTCGCTTCATCCAAGTTGCCTGTTCTTCTCGTAAAGCAGCACGGCCAGCTGCTTCGTCAAATCTTGCGCCTGAAGACTACTCTGTCCAGCGCGCAAGAACAATAACGCGAATCCACGCGATTGGCAGGATGAGAATCCTAAAATCAAAATGGCAACAACTCCTGGAACGTCGCGTGCTTGGACAACTGCCAGGTATGCCGTGTGATGCAGTGATTGACTTCAAGCCATAAACAAAGTTGAAGAAAAATAGCTGCCACTTTTAGGGAGCTCCACCCAGCAAGCAAAGAACATGAAAAACCCGACTGCCGGGGGTCCACGCGTGGCCCTCCAGCATGCGCAGGGACCGCTCGGAGCGCTGAGCTCTGGCCTTCCGCTCGGTTTTCCTATGGGTTTCTGCGTAGATCGGGGGCTTGGGGTTCCCATCCCAAGAACCGCTGAGTTGCCCTGGATCTATGCCGGTGCCCTCTGGTTTCTGGCTCATTTTTCTGATGGTTTCTGAGGTTCCCCTATGGTTCTGGCTTGTATGGTTTGTCTCTGGTTTCCATATGGTTTCCTACGGTTTCCCCTGGTTTCCTTTTGGTTATCATCCCAAATGGGTGGTGCACCTACCCCAACTAGGTCCTCCAGTAGAGAGGTTTAAATAAGGGTGCCCGATTTTTTTCTGTAGTCTATTTTAGTAGGGGAACCGAATCTCCCCCAAAAAAAAAAGGGAGAGAAGGGCACTACTGGGGGACCTAGTTGGGGTTCCCATCCCAAGAACCGCTCAGTGTGCCTTTCTGCCGGTGCCCTCTGATATCCTCTGGTTTATGTTTGGAGACAAGCATTGGGTGAATACCCAGCGCTCTCGGCCGGTCAACTTGGCTCCGTGACTGGCGCCTCTGTTGGAAAGAGTGATATCCTCATGCCCTCCCCAGAAACCTTTCAGAGGAAAACAGTCTTCCAAGCGAATGGGAGGGCAACATATCTTGGGTGACCCGAATTGGGTTCTGACAAATGGGTTCTATGCTGCAGAATATCGTCGTTGGGTGCCTGTTTGAGGGGTCTGGTTTCGCAACATGGAGACGCTTGTAACATTTACGTAACTCTCACGATAACTCACTGCCTCCCATGATCCCATGAAGGACTGCGGGGAGTCGTCATATACAAAAGTGACGAGACATGTACTTCGGGACAGCTAGAACATGAACATGGTTGCTCTCAGCACAAAAGAGCCACCTAGGCTACGTCGAATCAGTGTGGCGCCATCAAAACAAAGTCTCCCTGGTACCCTATCATTGCGGTGGCACTCCAAATCAAAACCTTGCAGGCGATCGGCCTAATTCAAGGCCGTAGCATGCTCATTGTCACTGGACGAGCATGGAAGTTCAAATGGCAATATATCCATATGAATCAATCCATTCGGCCCCAGCATGACCAGCATTTACAAACCGTTCGCTGCGCTCCGGATGGTTCCTTTACAAAACCAACGGCTTGCAGTCCAAGATGGGTCCAGCATGCTGCTAATCGCTGCTGATAATTCTGTACATGGTTTTGGGTAGACACCTTAAACGCCCAGGTTTTCCTCACGCAGAATGCCAACGTCATCCCGGCCTCCGCGTCGCGATTGTATGTCGCATACTCGCGAGCCTGCGGATTCGGCAGGGCTGAGTCCACGAAGACTTGATGGCCAAGTCATTGGGCGGCTCCCCAAATCCCCGCTGAAAAAAAATGAACAAAAGAACCATTATACATATAAATATATGGCTGGGAAGCCCCCTGCGACAAGTTGTTTCTAACTTCTAGTCGTTTTTAGTCCTTTGAGTCCTTTTAGTGCAAACTACCACTAAACCCTAGAGACCTAAACACCTATGGCTGGGAACAAGATCGCCACAGTTTACTCTGCCAATCACTCCCGCGTGTATTTGCGGGAACCCGTGTATTTGCGGGAACCCGCCCTGACCGACTTGTTGAAGTGAACTAGTGGCAGGTTCCACGTCAGAGCATGGCCAATTGGGATCCCACTTTGGTGTGGCTTGTTGTGAGAACCGGGAACCACTGCTTGGATTCTAGGGAGTTTCCCAAAATGGGCCACCTTTTGGTCCTTTAACGGGAAACCAACAGGTTTCTCAGAAGGGGTCACCTTCTTTAATGGGAAACAGGAACCACCTACAGATTTGGGGACCAATTCCTATTTTCAGAGTTTGGCTGATCCTGCTTGCCGAAGCCTTTGAAAGATCCGTTCAGAATGATCCTTGCAGGCTGTCCTCTCTGAGCCCAGCCTGTTTACCTGTATGTTTAAAACGGAACCAAAGGGAAGCCAATTTGGTGGTCGAATCACATTGGTGTCAAAATAAGGGGACCCCCAAAATTGGTGAGTTTTCCTTTCGGTTGTCAAAAGTGGGAGGTGGACATCAATCCCCACCTACTTGCTGTCCCATCAAGGAGCCCCAATTTTCCTTTACACCCATTTCGAGACAAACCCGCCCAGGGTTTCATGTTTTTTACTACTCCAAGCGGTAACTCGAACCCAGCTGAGGTTGATTTTTGCTGAAAAGGGACACCACTGGATTTTAGCCTACCTAGGATAGTCGTTCAACATGGAACCCAAAGGACCCACCCGTCTGCCGCTTGCCGCTGGCACCTTCTGGAGGATGATTTTGTTCTGCTCCCTGAGCTCACCATTCTGGCGCCGGAGCTCGTGCAGCTCTTGGTTTTGACCTCGCTCGGGTCCAAACATGCGATTCCTTTTCAGGACGCGTGGGAAACCATGAAGCAAAGCTGCATCAAATCTTAAGCAGCTTTTCCCGCTGCTCACTTGTGGCACACAGTCTCCCAAGGATATGGCCATGTGTCAATATCCAAATCGTACCCTCAGTGAACATCCGATTCAATCCCCACTAAAAGAGGTTCTAAAATGGGTGGCGAATTCACCTATCCCAAAATGATACCATTGGTTTTGACCCACAGCCATATTATATGGCTGTGGCTCAAATTTTAAGAGCTAAGCAGCTAGGGTGATGCAGGTTGTAGTCTTTGGTTCCATTCATACCAAGATGCAATTTTAGTACATGTTTCTGAGCCACAGCCAAATATGTCAATGCAAGACTCGCTTTCACGGCTCACGGCTCCCCCGAGAGCCGGGCTCATCAGCACCGGGTACCGCTGCCGGATCTCGCGCTCGATGTCTTGGAGCACCTGTGCTGAGCTCCAGTTGGCTCGAAGGTTCCCCGCCACTAGCCTCAGTTGTTCAGTGACCCTGGAAAAAATGGAACCCTTTTTGGGGAAGACCATTTTTAGTGGGGCCACCCAAAAAAAAGGAAAAAGGGTGCCACTGAACAACTGAGTGGCACACAACTGTCCAGTAGAGAGGTTAGAATAAGGGTACCCGATTTGTTTTTCTGTCGTCTATTTTAGTGGGGAAACCCTCCCCAAAAAAAGGGGAGAGAAGGGCACTATTGAAAAAAAAGCTGTTCAAAACAAGAAGCGGCATCTCGTTTTTGAACAACCCACGCGTAAGCGTCAAAATCCGCCATCTGCTTTGTGGTTTTTTCCATGCCATGCTTCGGCATCTGGCCAAAACAACAAACCAGTACTATATAGGTTCTAACAGGTCTGCATGTGATCGCTCGATGTGCGAAGGTTGAGGCTCGCTAAACTTCCCACAGACCAGGGGCGAATCCCTCAACAGCATGTTTGACCTGGGCTCATGTAGGAACTTTGGCCAAACCAGGCAGGGCCTGTTGACTTCCTGGTCCCAACAGCATACAGCGCTAACGGCAACGACAATACCGACAAAAGCAACACTGACTTGCCACAGAACCATTAAAAACCAAAAAAAGATACCCATTATCTGGTGAATCATGATCATCATCTACCACCATGATGTAGGCGTGGTACGTAGAAAGGCACCTCCTCCATGTGTAAAACACGCATGTCACCTCCCCCCAGCCTCAGCTGGGTTACTGTTGTTAAAGCCGCAGCGCCCCTTTTGCGACCAACCTCACCTGTCCAAACAACACAAACACAAATGGTAAACCTGTCGAAACCATGACCCAAACTGGGAAACCAACAAGTACAAGGGTCAATTGCCGCCATCGTCAGGCGGTTGGGAGAATGCGTCTAGTCCAAAAGTCAAAGTAAAACATAGGCAAACGAGTCCAACACATTCCTTTACGACATCCTGACATCATTCCTTGACACGTTCCCCCACTTCCAACTCCTCTTGATGGCTTTTTCTAAACACTGGCGAGCCCTGAACATGGAAGGCTCAACCTTCCGGTGAAACGATCCGACCGTCTCTCGGAAACTCTCGACTTCAGCTCGAATCGGCCTGCTGCAGGTGTTCTTTGGCTGCGCGCTCTTGCAGGGCCTGACCATGTTTTGTGTCTTTTTCTGCGCCCCGTTTGGTGCCGGCCTGGGTTCGGGCATCCTGTGAGCAAATGGGACGCTTGTGCCAGTTGAAAACATGTTACCGGCGCCCCGGAGAACAACATAACTCCCCTTTTTGCTGGCTCATCTTGCATGCAAACAAACTGCCAAACTTACACCAGTACCTACCAGCACCATGGTTGTGATTTTGGGGCAGCCAAAGCCGATGCACCCGTTGATGGATACGGACCCCGTAGGCTTGCGTAGGGCTCTAGGCATGCGTTATCGGTCAGGCCCTCGGAGCGTTATTAGATGTTATTAGGCTGGAGAAAACCACAAACGGATCATTCTTTGTATTTAGGGGTGGAACAACCTCTTTGTAGTATAGAATTTGGGGATCTGCTAAAGATCCAAAAATGGCAGGGGCACGAGGGCAACTGCCTACAGAAAGGCTCCCTGAACTTGAACAGGCACTTGTGCTTTCACCCTGTGTGTGTCTGCCAGTATAATAACTCGCAGCCCATGATCTACCTCCCTACGCATGTATGTAAGAATTGATATCTGGAGCACTAAGTGTACATGCACGAATTCATGTCAAGTTATGTCAGCAATTGCTGCAACCTTTCGAAGCAGTGGACACGACACTGCAACAGTCCGAAACACTCGCACGCGATCAATGTGTCTAAATACACATGGGTGTGGCTCAAATGCAAGACCAAGGGTCACGCGGGTGTTAGTGTTTGTTGCCATCCAAGGCACCATTTTGGGTACTTCTTTTCTTGAGCCACAGCCAGAAACAGAACTTGGCATGCTAAATCCAAAGCATCAGATTCCCAGTGAACAAGCTGCAGCCACGACTCGAAACATAGAAACAGCTTCAGTGTATGTGCGGGAGTTTCTCAAAGTAGACCCCCCTTTATTTTGGTATTCAAAGGGAACCAAAAGGAAACCAACAATTTTAGGGGGCCCTAAGTTCCAGAAATCCCCCCAAACACGCAACGTGACCGAAACCGATCCGTCCTCCTCTCGGGAGGTATGAGCAATGCGAACCAACTCGCTGATGCTCTCAAAGCCTCCAGGCAAGGTCCGGCAAAGGTGTCACTGGGCTGTCCGTTTTCAGATCCCCTGCTAAAAGTTTTTAGCTTTTAGTGGATTAAATTCGGACACCCACTAAAAAGCTAGAAAGCTAAGGAACCGGATGGCTGGGAACCACCAAGGTCAATAACTCTGTATTTGCAATATCGATGTTTCTACGTGTCAACGATTCTGTCAGTGCAGGGGGGGGGAGTTTATTTCCTGAAGCTTCCTGAAAAAAACACTGCCCAAGGAACCAGAGACGGTTGACACCCACACACACACACACACACAGAGAGCGCCGATTGGTTGCTCGAACTTCTCACCACGACCCGATTGACCAGCCCTAGGCTCGCAGTTCACCTCTGGCCTAGGCATGGCCCTGCATAGTAAAAACGTTTAACCAGTTCGTCTCCTGACATGCCTCGGCGCACTTTTGACAACCATTGGTCACCAAACATCTGACAAGTAGAATGGATGCTCCACAGTTGCAAGTCCTGCATTCTCACCAAGTCCACTACATCATCCCTGAAAATCAAACAAGCAAGGCCCAGCAATGAATTGTCCCCTTCTCTCTGTCCAAAAGTCAGGCCAGCATTTCAGCTCTCCAGCCGGCAAGCCTTGAACATGAGCTTCACAGTTGAATGTTTGTCAACATGGCGTTAAGTCAGCATCTGTAAAAGCCTCCTTACTTGCCAACTTGCAATGCAGAAATGGATGCCGTGTTTGTCTTAGTTGAATTCAGAGTGAAAAAGTCCTTTCAAACAAACCGGGAACACAAGTTGTGCTCAAGAAATTGTGCAAACTCTGGAGATTGAGACTCGAGAAGGGACGGGGAGGGTGGGCCTGGTGGAGGGAGGGCTAGGAAGTCAAGATTCGCCAAAGCATGACTTTGCTGCCCTGAAATAGAAATGGCAACCAAAAAAGTATCTGACCAAAGTGTTACAGTCTTCTTTTTTCTGGGGGGTCTTCCTCTTCGGATATATTCAGGACACACTTCGTTTGCCGTGAGGAGCCGACCATCTTTTGTCACCTCCCCAAATGAGAACATGGTTGGTGCAAGCCATGTCTGGTTGTTCCATGCCCAAGTAGGTAAGAATGGTTAAGCAAATGTTGCAAGTTTGACCCAAACACATAACAACGGGAAGCCCTGAAATAAATGGTGGTACTTAGGTTGTTTCTGCAACAACCGATCGAGTTCCTTCGGTTCGTAAACTGATTCAACATAGTAAATGTCCTTGCTTCCTTGTGATGTCACCCATGCTTTGGTGTTCCGTTGTGCTTCCTTTGTGCAACACCGCCGCACCC